GCAACAGTAGACAATGCTGCTGCCGCAGCAGCGGCAACTGCTGCTCTTTACTTCCCGCTGCTGCAGCGGCTTCAGCAGCCGATGGAGCAGCAGCAGCAGCAGCTGCTGCAGCAACTACAACAGCAACAGCAGCAGCAGTATATGAGGCGTCCTTGCCTCTATATATTATAATATTATATTATATTTTATATATATAATAAACAAAAACTATAAATTTAATTCATGCTTGGCTCTCTATGTATAACAATACCAATAGGGGGGCCCCCTGCAAGACAGGGGCCCCCCTGGGGGGCCCCCCATGGGGGCCCCCCCTGGGGGCCCCCCAGGGGGGCCCCCATAAAAAAAGGGTACTAAATTCATATATTTATTGAAATATTTATTTTATGCTGCAGTTTATTGTTTATATTTAAGCAGAGTCTATACACCTCAGCTTGTGCTGCAGTAGGGGGGGCCTTTTGCTGTTGCTGCTGCTGTTGCTGCTGCTGCTGCTGCTGCTGCTGCTGCTGAGCTGCTGTTGACGGGGGGCCCCCAAGAGGGCCCCCAAGAGAAGATGGGGCATTGGAGCGAAGTGCAGCAGCAGCAGCTGCAGGAGCAGCAGGAGAAGCAGAGGCTGCTGCAGCAGCTGCATGAGCGGCAGTTACAGCAGCAGCTACCTGTGCATCAGCAGCAGCAGCAGCAGCAGCAGCTACAGCAGCAGCAGCTGCTGCAACCGACAGAAGCAGCAGCAGCACATGAGGCAGCCAAGTTGCCTTCTGTACCCTATGTCTGCAGCAGCAGCAACAGGAACAGCAGCAGCAGCAGCAGCAGCAGCAGCAGCAGCAGCAGCAAGAGTTTCTTTGAGTGGCTGAAGGCCAACGACGACGAGCAGCTCTGGCGCTGTGCCTGGGGTGCACAAGCAAGCAGCAGCAGCAGCAGCAGCAGCAGCAGCAGCAGCAGCAACCCTATTTTAGTTGTTGACGCTGGCTCACACTGTATAAGGCTCTCCAGAGCAGAGAGGGGCCCCGAGGTATGTGTCAGGGGCCCCCTGGGTTTGCTGCTGCTGCTGCTGCTGCTGCTGCTGCTGCTACTGCTGCTGCTGCTGCTGCTACAGGAGTTGCGGCATTGCTGTCTATACACCTCAGCAGCAGCAGAATATCCATAAGGAATATAACATATATAATATTTCTCTTCCTTTGTCTGCTGCTGTACTTGCTGCTGCTGCTGTTGCTGCTGCTGCTGCTATTGCTGCCGTTGCTGCTGCTGCTGCTGCTGCTGCTGCAGGGAGAAGAGCAGAGCCTCATCCTTCCTCAAGTCATCCGAAAGCCGTGGGGTAAGACAGCAGCAGCAGCAGCAGCAGCAACAGCAGCAGCAGCAGCAGGGGCAGCAACTTCTGCAGCAGCAGCAACAGGAACATCTGCTGCTGCAGGCGCAGCAACAACAGCTCCAGCAGCTAACCGCCCAGTTGCTGCTGCTGCTGCTGCTGCTGTTGCTGCTGCTGCTTCTGTTGCTGCAACGAGATCTGCTGTTTGCTGCTGCATCATCTTTTGCTGCTGCACCTGCAGCAGCAGCAGCAGCAGCCATAACACCGTTTGCTGCCGTTCCCGTTGCATGCATGTTGCTGTCTCCTGCTGCTGCTGCTGTTACTCCTCCTCCGCTTACCTCTGCTGCTGCTGCTGCTGCTGTTGCTGCTGCTGCTGTTGCTGCTGCTGCTGCTGCTGCTGCTGCTGCTGTGTGTAGAGTTAGCCGGAGACGGTTACTTGCCTTTGTTATATCCCTACCCTTCCTCACCTTTCTCCTGTTCCTGCTGCTGCTGCATCTGCTGCTGCTGCTGCTGCTGCATTTGCTGCTGCTGCTGCTGCCCCTGCTTCTGCTGCTGCTGCTGCTGCTGCTGCTGCTGCTGCTGCGTGCAGAGGTAGCAGGAGACGGTTACTTGCCTTTGTATCGAGGGGTGGTGAGGGACTGGTGGGCCTATGAAGATGCTCTGCTGCAGACACTCACACATGCAGACTCAGGGTCAGCTCCTGCTGCTGCTGCTGCTGCTGCTGCTGCTGCTGTTGTTGTTGCGGCTGCTGCCGCTGCTGCTGCATCTGCTGCTGCTGCTGCATCTGCTGCTGCTGCATTTGCTGCTGCTGCATCTGCTGCTGCTGCATCTGCTGCTGCTGCATCTGCTGCTGCTGCATCTGCTGCTGCTGCATCTGCTGCTGCTGCAGCTGCTGCTGCTGCTCCTGCTGCCCCTGCTGCTCCATCTGCTGCTGCATCTGCTGCTGCTGCTCCTGCTGCTGCTACATATACTACTGCTGCTGCTGCTGCTGCTGCTACTGCTCCTCCTTCTGCTACATCTACTGTTACTGCTGCTGCTGCTGCTGCTGCTGCTGCTACATATACTATTGCTGCTGCTGCTGCTGCTGCTGCTGCAGGGTGGATGGGTGTGGTGGCGGCGTGAGTGTGTTGTGGTGCGAGAGCTGTTTGCGGTCGCCGAAACATTTTCAGCAAATTGCAGAACTTTGCTTCGAAACTATCCAGACACACCGCTTTCTATCCATAGATAAGGTCTCCTGCTGCTGCTGCTGCTGCTGCTGCTGCTGCTGGTGCTGCTGCTGCTGCTGCTGCTGGTGATGGTGATGCTGCTGCTGGTGATGGTCGTGGTTGTGATGGTTGTGGTGGTTGTGGTGGTGGTTGTTGTGGTGGTTGTAGTGGTGGTATGGTGCAGGCACAGCGCTTTCTATCCATCGATAAGGTCTCCTGCTGCTGCTGCTGCTGCTGCTGCTGCTGCTGCTGCTGCTGCTGGTGATGGTGATGGTGGTGGTGGTGGTGATGGTGATGGTGATGGTGATGGTGGTGGTGATGGTGATGGTGGTGGTGATGGTGGTGGTTGTGGTGGTGGTGGTGGTTGTGGTGGTGGTTGTGGTGGTGGTGGCTGTGGTGGTGGTGCAGGCACAACGCTTTCTATCCATCGATAAGGTCTCCTGCTGCTGCTGCTGCTGCTGCTGCTGCTGCTGCTGGTGATGGTGATGCTGCTGCTGGTGATGGTGCTGGTGATAGTGGTGGTTGTGGTGGTGGTGGTTGTGGTTGTGGTGCTGGTGCTGCTGATGATGATGGTGCAGGCACAACGATTTCTCTCGATTGATAAGGTCTGCTGCTGCTGCTGCTGCTGCTGCTGCTGCTGCTGCTGCTGCTGCTGCTGCATGTGTTTTGTTTCAGGACACCCTGTCTGCGTTGGCGATAACGGGGTGTCTCCGCAGCCCCAGCGGGTTGTGTGCAGGGGGCGGAGGAGACCCAACCAGCAGCAGCAGCAGCAGCAGCAGCAGCAGCAGCAGCAGCAGTGCGTTGCATGTGCTGCGTTGCATGCAGCATTTCTCGGGGCTGGTGATTGATATGGGGGCCTCGCTAACCCGGGTGTCTCCTTTTATGGGGGGACAGGCCTTCGGCTGTCTCTCCTTTGAGCTGCCGCTGGGGGGCAGAGACATAGACTTGTATCTCAGCAGCAAACTGCTGCAGCAGCAGCAGCAGCAGCAGCAGCAGCAGCAGCAACGGGGACAGGGATCAGCGCAGGGGAAGGTGAAGAAGCCCTGTTATTGCACTATGGTGAGATAGTATAGAGGCACTGTTGCTGCTGCTGCTGCTGCTGCTGCAGCTGCTGTTGCTGTTGTTGCTGTTAGTGCTGCAGCAGCAGCAGCTGCAGTAGCAGCGTCTCA